GACAAACAAACTGTATAAAATTGGTGAGAGAACTTCTCTTTGGAAGAGACCGATTCTGCTCGAAAAATATTCTGAAATACGACAGTTGTATTTAACACAGGATTAATCTTTAACAATTTACCTTGAACTCCATGTTTAATGAGTTTACACCACAATTTCCCTCTATCAATAAGGTCAAAAGCCTTTTTGTAATCTACAAAGCAACAATACAACCTTTTCTTTTTAACCAGAGAACTATCAATTAATGACTGAAGTACGAATATAGCATCTACAGTTGAGTGACCAGCTTTAAAACCAAACTGGGCATCAGTAATAATTGAATTTTCTTTGTCCCACTGTTTAGGTTTTCTGTTTACCAACATCATTAATATCACCTTTTTGTGTACTGAGACAATGCAGCCACGTGACCACACTTCCGGAAAAAAACCTGATTCAAATATTTGTCTGAAAAGCTTCGTTATACAAGGGGTTAAAATGTCTTCACAATCTACGAAAAGTTCATTTAAGATTAAATCTTCACTACAGCTTTTATCTCTAAATTTCTAATTGCGACATGTACCTCATCTTCTGTAAATGGTTTATCTAAATGTTCAAGTATTGTTAAATCTATGTCACCATTAAATTCCTGAGTAGTAGCATCAATATCACCAGTGTTACTACTAACACTTTTAAAATATTCTAAAAAATCATTGATATTAATGTGTGGTTGGGATTCACTTGAAGATTATCTTCAGATGATTTACAGAATGTTACGCATGCGATACATAAACATATCCTATTTTTATTCAATATTCTATGGGATTTAAGCACTAATTGTCCAACTTATATTTAACCCTTTTCCATCAATATTTTACTATTTATATATATATATATGCATATAAGATGGGAAACTTTGATTAACTTGGAGGGTTAGGTTATGAAAAAGAGGGAGTGTTTACCTTATTTGCAAATATATAAGGCTTATAGAAAATATTATTCATGGAATAATAACATTATCATAATTGTTCACAATATATAATGTGGTATGATAAATGTGCGTGTTTATTATTAGATCGTGTTTGTGGAGGCACGGTAGTCTAGTGGTAGGGCGCCGGGCTCGTGACCGAAGGGTTGCAGGTTCGAGTCACGTCACGGCACTGTGTTGTATCCTTGGACAAGATACTTTACTCCGCTTGTTCCAGTCTACTCAGCTGTAAATGAATACGTGGTTGGGCACTGCTAGAATTGTTGAATGCTAGCTGTTAGCGCCGAAATGGCAGCTCCCCACGGAGTTGAGAAATGTACTGGCTAGTTGCAAAGGCCCTATAACCACAGATGATAATTTGTGAACCGCTTTGAGACGACTTACGAACTATGTTGTGATAAAGTGGTATATAAGAACCTCGAATTATTATTATTATTGTTTGTGATTTTTCGCGATATAGACGGCACTAGTTACACTGTTTACTCCACGTGCACGTGGGTGCAGTTCCTGTAAGAATTTTGTAAAGAAGAATAAGTCTGTGTTTTTTCCGTCTTGCAGCAAGGGTGTCCCAACCAAGTTCACAATAATGTTTATAGTGTGAGGTTCCGTTACGCAGTCCTGTAATTATTCGAGCAGCCTCTATTTGGATAGATTCAAGTAAAGTTGCCTCCTGCTGAGTACAATTATCAAAAATGATATCACCATATTCTAGTAGAGGTCTAATATAAGCGGTATATATAGTGATTAGTGTGTTACGACTCATTTTATATTTTACAGATTTCAATAAATTTATACGTTTATACGCTTTATTATAAATAAAGTTGATATGGTGATGCCACTTAACGTCTTCAGAAAAAAATGATGTTTAGAAAGATGTTTATGAGTTGACACATTTGCTACAGTTTCATTTTGAAAAATGATATCAGGAGATATTATATTTCTTTTCCGACTAAAAGTTAAAGATTCCGTTTAGTAGGATTAAAATTGATGTCCCATTTCTTAGACCATATATTTACATTTTCAAGATCACTGGATAGACTATTGGCTGCATCGACTGGAGTAGTTTGCATCACCTTAAAAAGAGATGTATCATCGGCAAATGGTCGTTTCTCATTTGTTATACATTCAGTTATATCATTTATATCAATCATAAATAGAAACGGACCGAGGACTGATCCGTGGGGGACACCAGCACTAACCAGTCTATATGATGAGAAGATAGATTAGTATCTACGATAAATCTTTAAGGAGATTTCCTTTAATACCATATTTTTCAAGTTTAAATATTAAGCCATGAAGCCAGACACGATCAAATACCTTGCTTACATCACAAAATATTGATCTAATTTCAAGTCCTTCATCAAGTTTTTGTATAATAGTATTATACATGGATAATAATTGATAAACAGTAGAGTCACCAGGAATAAATCCAGACTGGTATTTTGTTAGTAGTTCGAATTCCAGTTAATGATTATATAAATATTTGAAAATGATTTTTTTTTAATATTTTACTGAAACATGAAGTAATAGAAATTGACGTAATTTGAGACATCATTTTTATCACCTTTACCTTTATATATAGCATTAATATTAGCCCATTTCCAAGACAAAGGAATAGAACCAGATGACATGGTTTTATTAAATAACATAGTAACGGGAGTTATTAGTGATGGAGAAAGAAGTTTAATAACTTTTGGTATAATTTCATCAGATCCTGCAGGTTTCTTATCATTAAGTACAGTCAGTTGATCCCTCACATCCTGTTCTTAAAAAATAAAATGTTATTAAGTATGTTAGGAGACAACGGATTAATATTATCAGAGGAAGTTGATATTGCTGTAAAATAATCAACAAGACATTCGGCTTTATCAAGTGGATGAAACAAAACAGTGTTATTGTCATTTAATGGTGGAATAATGGGTGACTTGTTGTTATTTTTTAGAATAGTTTTTGTGGTTTTCCACCATTTAGATGATGAGACATTGGGATCAATATAAATCTTTAGTGGTACGTATTATGCTGATGGCTTCATTTCTGATGTTCCTAAAATTTGCCCAATGATCTCGATTATTGGTCTGTATTGCTTTTTTATGGATTCTATTCCTCTGTCTTAGTTTTAACCTTATCTCGTTTGACATCCATGGCTTATCATTTGGTCGGATAGTAATTTTCTTTATAGGTATACAGTCATATATGGCTTTATTTATAGCATCAACAAGTACAGTATTAAAACCATTTACATCTTGTTGTTCATTTATACTTACCCAGTTTATGTTATCAATCATCTGATTCATTTCGATAACATCAGCATTATTATACAGGAGAACATTTTTTGTATATGCATATTGTCTAAATACAAAGTAAGAGTGATCACTACAGATTGGAGGAGTTGAAATTACATTTTTATTATGTATTGTTATTGAATTCTAATATGCTTTTAAATCTCTATAAGTTGTACCTGTACTAGAATCATTGTTTGGTTTGCTTGTGGTTTACGTCCTATCAACAGCTATGATCATTTAACGACGTGCCAGGTTTTGGTGGTGCAGGAAAGCCGGAGTTCCCTGGCGACTGTCCCACGTAGGCCTAATACCCGCGACCCAGTGGTGGAGAACTAGTGGCAGCAGAATGTCAGTGCTTTAACCACTTGGCGACCGCGGCCCCAGAATCAATGTATTTGATAAACGCCAATTAAAGGACAGAGACAGATGTATTAGATATTGTTATATGTCTTGCATTTTAATATCACCCCTACAGATTGGGGATCGGGAATATAATACACCTGCTTGTATCGTAGGAGGCGACTAATAGGGGAACCCCCTGCAGAATTTGGGAATTGCTTTGGTGTCCTCTATTTGGGGACACAAAAGGGACCACAATAAATCTGCTGCACCCATATCAATATTTGGGATCTTTATCTTTCTTTCTACTTCTTCCTATCTTTTATTTTCTAGTTCCTTGCTTGGTAGAACCTCACTTTTGGCCTTGATGTTGAGCGTTCGCCCAGGCAAGGAAGGCAATGGGTTCTGTTCCCAGACGGGGACATAACAAAGTCCTTCAACATGGTAGTTGTTATTCCCTGCTTAACCTTCGGCATTAAGGGGAATGACAACAATTGGTTCACCCGTTGTCAGTATAGTGTGACCGGGCGGAATGCTGTACTGGGTGCCTTCGGCATGGTATTTCAGTGAGATAGCACTATAAAGTCGGTATCAGATCCGCGCTATCACAAGGAGGCAAATACACCAACATACCCTATCTCCTGCATATACACACACAAGCACGAAAACGCTAAAACACTTGGTTCGACGTGTGCGTTAATGAGCGCTTCCAAATTTGCAGTAAATGCATGCGTATTATTGTCATTATTTTGATTGACCGCAAAATTAATTATTATAAAGAATGTGTAAAACAAAAATACAGCTTTAAATCGGGCACAGGCTAAGTGAAATATAGCTTCTTGTGTAAATCGGACATTTATCTTTTCAGGTTGATATCTTTGACGGTAGTTTGATCAGAACATTTGTAACTTCACTAATGCGTGGGGGGTCTATGGTCATAGTTCTACGCATATTTTCTCATAATGAATTGAATGGTACTTTCCCCAATATCTAACATAGTAATACGCTACATACAAAAATAGGTTATTTTAAGTCATTTTCAAATTTACACTTTATTGCAAAATTTGATGGTATAAAGATAATGACGTCTTTAAACTGCGTGACTCTTTCTTGAATATACAATGTTTCATGCTCAGTTGTAGAGAAAAATATTTTGTACTATGCAAATATATTGCATTTTCCCATATATTCAAAATAGATCTAATGAGTCGGCTAATTAATGTTAATAGTCTCAAAAATAAGTATTGATTGCACAGTCATATGTCATAATTATTGTTTCACAAAGAAGAACTCGAAACACTTAATTATGTTTAGCAAAACCTAAATAAATATGTTAAAATACAAAGTATATCTCTTTTTTATCTTTTTGTTTACTATTTTCCAGATTATAAAGACGGGAGACGAACCGTTCCAATATGGCACTCCTTCCTGTTGTGATAGTCATCACGCTGGTGTATACCGTTTATGGTCATTTCCCTCTGGAGCCGATCCCACATGACCCTTACTGCCACCTACCGGGCCATCACCATGATCACCATGATCACGGTCATCACCACATGCCGCACCTGCCTATCCAAGCTCATGACCACGCCCCAATCATGACTCCACCTATTCAAGTAGTACACCAGGCCCCGATACATCAGCATTTCGGTGCGTATTCAGCACCAGTTCAAACCTCATACAGTGCGATCGCAGCGCCACTTCCGCCAACATCGTTAAGTATATATTCAGCACTTCCAAACGTTGCCAATACGTATTCTGCATCAATTTCAGTTCCTTATAGCACATATTCTACAACCCTTCCAGCTGCTGTTAGCACGTATTCAGCACCACTTCCGGATCTTACCAGTACGTTTTCTGCACCTTTTTCAGTTCATGGTAATACATATGATACAACACTTCCGGCTCCTGTAAGTACTTACTCATCGATTCCGGTTCCTTTCAATACATTTTCGGGAACGCAGGTGGCTCCTATTCATACTTATTCAGGACCACCTATTTCTCCAATCAATGCCATTTCATACCCGACTATTAACTCTGGATCCTACCATTTAAATTCAATTCCGCCGATTTCCACATACAGTTACCCACCCTACCCTGGAATCAATGTCGGTTTACCCTCGGTCGGTACGGGTTTGACGCAGGCAGTCGGGACATCCGGGATCCTTCAGCCTGGAATCTCTTCTCTTGGTACTGGAATTCTGCCTGGGATTTCGACTGGATCATCTGGGATCCTTCAGTCTGGACTCTCGTCCCTTGGTAATGGGATTTTTCCTGGGATTTCGTCTGGATCATCTGGGATCCTTCAGCCTGGACTCTCGTCCCTTGGTACTGGCATTCTACCTGGGATTTCGTCTGGATCAATGCAATCTATTGGATCAGGAGGGATTTTCCCATCCCTTGCTACCGGATCTGGAGGGATTTTCCCATCCTTTGCAACGGGAACTGGAGGGTTTTTCCCATCACTTACTACCGGGGCTGGTATAGGGGCAATATCGAATGTTGCAGGTTCTGGTGTAGCTGCAGGGACGGTTGGTTCCGAAGGACTCCTGCCGTCTGGAAACCAATTTCTTCAGTCGCTCAGTAATTCTTTATTTTAATAAAAAGGAAATGCCTAATAAACATACAAATCTGTGTCCTGTTTTTTCTATATACCTTTTTATTAACTTCTGACCCAAGTTGCATAAAACGTGGTTAGGGTTGACCCGTAGTGAGGGTATTTTTCAAATGTGAATTCAACAAAATCAAGAACATTAAACATCTTTTCATTAATATAGATTTGTGTAGACAGATAAGAATGGCGTGATTTGGGATTATTATTGCTATGGAAGCCGTTGTATCTTAATGACAACATTTTTTTTTCACTAACCACTGTTAAAGTTAACAAGCAAATTTGGGAATTTCTATCCCCCTTTTTCAGGACATATTGTAGGTAAACATTATTGAGGTTGTACAGGATCATTTTGTTTTGATGTTAGTAATTTGATCGATGTATTCTTATAAAAAAAATCGAAAACAAAGACTCTTTCCACGTGTTATTCTAATAAATAACTGAAATTATTTATTGAATGTTTTGGTGGTTTAACAAGGTAGAGTTGAGCAAAACTAATACTCCCTAAACTTATCAGTGTTTTGGTCGAGGATAATATAGCTTTCCATCGGTTACTGAGGTATTTATATAGTGCTGAAATATTGATCTACCATTGAGTACTTGACCTTTGCATCTTTAACGCATAATCATAAGCAAGTGTTTTCGGAAAAGAATCACTGTATGAAGTCACCCCATATCAATTTCAAAGTTAATTTTCTAGCTAAAATCACATTGACCTTGATTGGCTTTTGCACTTCGAAGGTAAAAAAACAATAAGAAAAAGCACATTCAGTAAAAGAGCAGTGTATACAACTTTATCAACCCACATGAACGTTTGAGCTATAGTGCAAAAGGCAAATTTGTTATAGTAACATCGACCTTTGCGACATTTGACTTGCAAAGCAATCCTTTTTGATGAGAAAGCGCTGTATAAGAAAGGAGAATAGTCTGCCCTCATGACCTTAACTTGTTGAGCGGAAATGGAGGACCGATGGGCGTCTATCATAATATATCTGCCGATATAGATCGGGAGAATAATTATAATAGAAAATACACACTTTTCTGAAATTCAGTATATTTATATTCATAACTAATGACACGTCATAAAACTGGATTATGGAGAAGCCAACAGGGGAATCAAGGTTCCATGTTAAATGAATAGCCTTAAGTAATACGCAAAAATGTCATATTAAGTTAGTTTGACAATAACGCAAAGATATGTCAAGTTTTAATGCATCTTACATTTTAATAACATATATATTTGTTGTTCATAATTCGATTACACATCATACTTCATGTTATATTATAGACCAGGCCAATGTGTTAATATCACAAAATTGGCAAGGTCAATACGACTGATAGTAAAGGCATTTTTTGGGCCCCGGTATATCAGGATTTTCACCTCCTTAATTTGTTCAAAGATGTCGTTTTGTATAACCCACTTTCGGTCAAACTGTTGCCTTAATGTTTGCGCGTGCAATACAATAGGATATCTTTTTGCCAAACTAAGGAGGTGAAAATCCGGATATACCGGGGCCCAAAAAGGGCCTTATAGACACACATCCTTTGCAATGTACATTGTAACTGTCACAGAATAATTGTCACAGATACTATGCCAATCAACATGACTTAATGTCATTGTCACATAATTGGTAAGATCAATACGATCAATATATCAGATCAACGAGACTAAATGCGTTTTTTTCACTGAATAGTGTAACAAAATAGGCCGTAAAAATATGATTTTGGTAACACCGTGCATTGATTGACAGGTGAAGTGTTGAACGCTAGCGGCGTCAAGCTCAGTCATGGATGCCATAGCGATAGTAACGACAGTGTGAACTCCTCCAAAACAGACGGGGGTAACTGTCATTACCATATGGAACATCTAGTATAGAAGTTTCGGTAGGGGAAACTTAGCTTAGAAATTAGATTAGAAGTTAGATTAAATTGTCGCACGTGCCTCATTTTATATGCATATGTACGATGGGTGGTACAGGAATATGAATGTTTAATCAGATATGTACTACGAGCTTTGATAAAACGGACTTGCATTGGGAATTTAGAGAGATGCTCACAAAAACTCGAGAGAGAGAGAGAGAGAGAGAGAGAGAGAGAGAGCTCCCGAGATACCGTAGTTGTGGGGGTGTCTCACTGGTCAAAAGACCAACGTTATGGGGATAGTTCAGTTTTGTGGGGAACGAGATTGTTCCCCACAATTCGAGAGCGTCATTTTCGGATTCTCGGGCACCGAAATTAGTTTGAATACGCAACTACCTAATGTTACTAAAAATAGACACAACGACTTCGTGCAATTTCTCACACCACCGCTCAGCACACGGTTGAGAATCATGGGTAATTTTACGTTCTATATCCCTCTGGATTTATCCAAACACTATCAAAAGTTTGGCGGGAAAACCACTCTATCGTCGTCATTTCCGGAAAAGTAATAATGGTTGACAAGCAAAAGCCAGACGTGTTGATTGCTTTGAAAGGTACATATCTAGGAGTCTGCGCATTGATTATTGAAATCAGTTGGTAATACTTGCATTATTTAAATATACGATGGGTGAGATTTTAATTTGTGGGGAAAACGTCAGTAGCCATGTCCCTTCCTGTGGTTTGCGAATCGGACTCCGTATCAAACTGCGGACAGTGTGGTTGCAAAATTTTTGTACTTGTGCATGAAGCACTTGATGTTGTCCTAAGATATTGTTCAAACGATGACATAACTTCTAAGACCTATGATAATGGAATATTGATTCATTTTTCACTCCATGTTGATTTCCGAGTTGCAATGTTGTCCTTACAAGATCGAAGATTTTTTCACATTTTATACAAACCAACTTCAATGCATGTATTTTCAAGGAAAGATGAAAAGTATTTGAGACGTAAGTTGTATTAGTCCCAAAAGTTAAGCAGTCAAACCACATGTAATTGTTATGGATGGTCCCAGAAAAACATAAATTTTCTGTTGCATGACAATTAAATCTTTCACAAGTAATACGGTAACTGGCTGGCCTGCAGAGAAAATGTACGAGCAAAAGATGTCTGAATAGACTTAGGGGTTAGTCCGAATTTACCAAGTCCAGGGATATTGATCAACATAGTCCCATAACATGAAACGTCAGCATACATTGCACACAATCATTTAAATGTTTTCTATAATTAGTGAAAAATATATATGATCGTAGAGTAACAGAAAACTTTTTTCAAATGGACATCTCAAGCCGAACAAGGGGTCACTCAAAAAAGATTTTCAAAAAACGCTGTAATCTGGACATCAGAAAAAATTTCTTTAGTCACAGAATAGTAGATATATGGAATAACCTACCACAACATATCGTAGCTGCTGATACTGTTTATAACTTCGAAGTGTTGCTTGATGAACACTGGAAAAATACTCATTTTAATACTTAAGAAACATTTAAGATCNTTTCACTCCCCTGAAATTATCCCTAGAACAGTCTTCTAAGGAGTTTGTGTTGCATGGGGAAAATACCATGAAACCTGTCGACCTGTGAAAACTGAATAGATTTCTACTTTCTTCTGTTGTTATTTTTCAGGAAAATACGCATGACATACTCTAATACAGGAAACCACTCCTTTTATGGCTAACTAGTGTAGCTTATCTATTGTTAAAATAGATGGCAGAACGATAATGGTCGCTTCCACAGAGACCCGAGAAGTTGTTACATCTATATTTGGACCTAAACTAATGTGTTTAGAGTAATTTTACACCTTTTGGGGGATTTGTGGCATTTTTACCGAAAATGAATCTAACACCTCCCTCTCCAACGTGTAAAATTACTCTAAACACCTTAGTTTAGGTCCAAATATATCTGTTACAAATTATCAGGTCCCTGTGGTTACTTCGTCGCCATCATGTTACTGTTCATCCTCGATATATCCTTGAAATAACCCCCGTATTTGCTTGTCTAGGTCTCTGTCTCCTTGCTCCGTGCTAGGTCTACCCCAAAATGAGAAAGGTCTAGTAACCAGTTCGAATAACTGCGGATCACGTATCCAAACTATAAAGTAATGCAAGCAGTACACCCAGTGCAAGCAACATAAAAGCATATGTTAAACAATTATCTATACATATAATTCTTGTTACGTTTCTAGTCATCCCTCTTCTGACACCAATTGTTACGTTTCCATTTATGACACCATCTTGCTATTAATGTAATTGTTAATTTCTCTATGTTTAGTGAAAGTCAAGTCGTTCAGTCGGTCTGACAAATGCAAGAGATAAAAACACAACATACAAGTTTTTATAAGGTTAACTAAAGTTTCCTTTACAGAAATTTAAACAATGTTCTTGCCAAAAGTTCAACTTGATAAAGTTACCTAAAAGTGTCTCCCGGATAAAAATTGTATAACCCAAGCAAAGTTGAAGCACTTTGAAATGATCAAAATTAGGATAAGATGAAGAAGGCTGATATTCCTTTTAATACATATAACATATAGACAAACTTAATATAAGTCTGGAAATGTCACTCAAAAGTAATATAACAAAATATATCAACTGAAGTTTACACTAATTCGACTAATTCAACTAACTAATACTCTACACTATATATATTACTACACTGGACTCCTCACAAGTCTATAAGAATACTCCCGAGTCATCATAGAATCCCCGTTCTACTCTCAATCTCCTCAAAAACTCCCTTAATCCCTCGCCAAACTCTTGATCTTTCAACGGAAAACTCTATCCCCTCATTACTCGTCATTTTTAACAAAAACTCCTTATCAACCCTTTATATAAGTACAACTATTTTAGGATACTGACAACCTATACTAGATATACTCAAAGTCATACTAAACTAAGACGATGACATCATAAACTTAGTATACTCGAAACCATACTAAACTTAGCTGATGACATCATATACTAAATATACTCCAATCCATACTAAACTTAGCCGATGACATCATTTACTAAATATAACTAGAGACAAGATACACTAAAGATAGAGCTACATCTAAATACAAACTATGGAAACC